TGTTGTGTACATAGTTCATGTATCGTGACGTGTAACGCCATGTTGTGTACATAGACCATGTATCTTGACGTGTAACGCCATGGTGTGTACATAGTCCATGTATCGTGACGTGTAACGCCATGTTGTGTACATAGACCATGTATCTTGACGTGTAACGCCATGTTAGGTACATAGTTCATGTATCTTGACGTGTAACGCCATGGTGTCTACATAGACCATGTATCGTGACGTGTAACGCCATGGTGTGTACATAGTCCATGTATCGTGACGTGTAACGCCATGGTGTGTACATAGTTCATGTATCTTGACGTGTAACGCCATGTTGTGTACATAGACCATGTATCTTGACGTGTAACGCCATGGTGTGTACATAGACCATGTATCGTGACGTGTAAAGTCATGTTGTGTACATAGTCCATGTATCGTGACCTACAACGTCATGTTGTGTACATAGACCATGTATCTTGACGTGTACCGCCATGTTGTGTACATAGTCCATGTATCGTGACGTGTAACGCCATGTTGTGTACATAGACCATGTATCTTGACGTGTAACGCCATGGTGTGTACATAGACCATGTATCGTGACGTGTAACGCCATGTTGTGTAAATAGACCAAGTATTTTGACGTGTAACGCCATGTTGTGTACATAGTCCATGTATCTTGACGTGTAACGCCATGGTGTGTACATAGACCATGTATCGTGACGTGTAACGCCATGTTGTGTAAATAGACCAAGTATTTTGACGTGTAACGCCATGTTGTGTACATAGTCCATGTATCGTGACGTACAACGTCATGTTGTGTACATAGACCATGTATCTTGACGTGTACCGCCATGGTGTGTACATAGTCCATGTATCGTGACGTGTAACGCCATGTTGTGTACATAGACCATGTATCGTGACGTGTAACGCCATGTTGTGTACATAGTGCATGTATCGTGACTATAACGCTATGTTGTCTACATAGACCATGAAGCTTGACGTGTAACGCCATGTTGTGTACATAGACCATGTATCGTGACGTGTAACGCCATGTTAGGTACATAGTTCATGTATCTTGACGTGTAACGCCATGTTGTGTACATAGTCCATGTATCTTGACGTGTAACGCCATGGTGTGTACATAGTTCATGTATCGTGACGTGTAACGCTATGTTGTCTACATAGACCATGAAGCGTGACGTGTAACGCCATGTTGTGTACATAGACCATGTATCTTGACGTGTAACGCCATGTTAGGTACATAGTTCATGTATCTTGACATGTAACGCCATGTTGTGTACATAGTCCATGTATCTTGACGTACAACGTCATGTTGTGTACATAGACCATGTATCTTGACGTGTAACGCCATGGTGTGTACATAGACCATGTATCTTGACGTGCAACGCCATGTTGCCTACATAGACCATGTATCTTGACGTGTAACGCCATGGTGTGTAAACAGACCATATATCATGACGTGTAACGCCATGGTGTGTACATGGACCATGTATCGTCGGCCTTTTCAACGAGTTTCAGCTAAATGTAACTAAAGGTAATATTCAGTCCTACTGCTATGCCGTCCGTATTGACCCTGTTATGGCCGCCTTTGGATACTAAAGTCCTCTTAAGCCCTAAATATATGTTGTGTCGTTGTGTAGTAGTCGGATCTTTTAGTGTCTTTCTTACTAATTTTAAATACATTTCAGTGATATAATATCAGTTCCTTTACTGTCTTTTGTCTACAGGTTTTCATACGATTTAAATGTATAGCTTTGTGAGAGATATTCTGCTGACGTGACCGTTATGTGTTTCTCTCACTGACTACATATTGCCTGCTCCTTGTTTCTGCATGGGTGACGCTTTTTGACTCTATGGGAATTAGACAACTTAGTCCAAGTATCCTACCTGGAAAGGTATGTCTGTTAAAAGATGGAAATCGTCAGTGTATCCGTTCTCGAAAATAGAACATATGGACGTGTTGACGATGTCTTTGGCCACAGAAATCTTAAAGCTTCAATTCTCCTACCTTTGTACCAGTCAGCTAATCCCCAAACCCACCGTGCACGTGCTGCCGCTGCTCCCTGTCGACCTCTTCAGCAGGCTTCCAGACCACGGCAAGTTGTTTCCATTTGGATGAATGTATCAGATACGTGACGTGTACCGATATCCTTATAACAGTTAATTCTTTAGTAAGAATACATCTGGGCATTACAGAGGCATGAATGTGAACATATGCAGGTGTACATTACAGAGGCGTGACTGTGGACATATGCAGCTGTACATTACAGAGGCGTGACTGTGGACATATGCAGCTGTTCATCACAGTGGCGTGACTGGACATATACAGCTGTACATTACAGAGGCGTGACTGTGGACATATGCAGCTGTACATTACAGTGGCGTGACTGTGGACATATGCAGGTGTACATTACAGTGGCGTGATTGTGGACATATACAGCTGTACATTACAGAGGCGTGACTGTGGACATATGCAGGTGTACATTACAGTGCCGTGACTGTGGACATATACAGCTGTACATTACAGTGGCGTGACTGTGGACATATGCAGGTGTACATTACAGTGGCGTGACTGTGGACATATACAACTGTACATTACAGAGCCGTGACTGTGGACATATGCAGGTGTACATTACAGTGGCGTGACTGTGGACATATACAGCTGTACATTACAGAGCCGTGACTGTGGACATATGCAGGTGTACATTACTGAGGCGTGACTGTGGACATATGCAGCTGTTCATTACAGAGGCGTGACTGTGGACATATACAGCTGACCATTACACAGGCGTGACTGTGGACATATGCAACTGTTTACAGAGGTGTGATTGTGGACAAATACAGATGTACATTACAGTGTCGTGACTGTGGACATATACAGCTGTACATTACAGTGGCGTGACTGTGGACATTTATTGCTGTACATAACAGTTGCGTGACTGTGGACATATGCAGTTGTACATAACAGTGCCGTGACGGTGGACACATACAGATGTACATTGCAGAGGCGTGACTGTGGATATATGCAGCTTTACATTACAGAGGCGTGACTGTGGACATATAAAGCTGTACATTACAGTGGCGTGACGGTTGACATATGCAGCTGTACATTACAGTGGCGTGACTGTGGACATATACAGCTGTACATTACAGAGGCGTGACGGTGGACATATTCAACTGTACATTACAGAGGCGTGACTGTGGACATATGCAGGTGTACATTACAGTGGCGTGACTGTGGACATATACAGTGTACATTACAGTGGCGTGACTGGACATATACAGCTGTACATTACAGAGGCGTGACTGGACATATTCAGCTGTACATTACAGAGGCGTGACTGTGGACATATACAGCTGTACATTACAGAGGCGTGACTGTGGACATATACAGTTGACATTACAGAGGCGTGACTGTGGACATATACAGCTGTACATTACAGAGGCGTGACGGTGGACATATACAGCTGTACATTACAGTGGCGTGACGGTGGACAATGACTGTGGACGCATGTTCGGTTGCTTGATGAATGTTGTTAAGCAGCCCCACCAATAGTTCATTGTCCGTCATACTCGTATGTGCGCCGCAGCATTGGCGATGTGAAAGTTATTATTATGAATTATAGAGAGCAAGTGGAGTTGTTTACAACCGGATTATCTCGACGACGGCTTGAAGTACCACCAGACGCCCTGCTCTGCTGTGAGTGTAATGAGCGAGTGTAATGCTGAAATATGCTCTCATCAAGTATTTGCGGTTACATGAAATGGCTAACAAGCAAAGGTCTTGTTTGAATTGTTGTCAGTACAAATTCACCCAGGTAAGCACATGATATTGAATTTCTGAACATTCCGTTATTTCACATATAAACTAGCATATAGCTATCTGAATTTTGATTCACATAATACACATTTGGGAAACATGGAGCTCTACATTTCGCTGCCTCATACTGGGCACTAGAGAACTGGTTCCTAACACAAGGTAAATCATTATGCTATAATGAAGGAACGTCGAAGTAGTAATATTCATTGACAACAGACCACTGTTCGCTGGAAGGCGACTAAGCCGCCGACTAGCTGGCACAACAAACTTGTCCTGGAGGATATTCAAAGCCATCTACTTAGTAATATACTACTATTGCTAACTGCACACGACAAATATAGATTATATATCTTCTATCTTAGATTAGACTGGCGGAGCATTTTCTCCGTGTGAAAGCTATCTAATGGTGGCATTGTGCTAGATGGGCGAGATATACAGTATGTACTGACGGTGTTCTGTGCTGCTCATAAACGGAGCAATGATGCGTTGACCGGTGATTGTGAAGCTCCATGCCATCATGTGTATGACATATCGATTACACCACAGCTTTTTCATACAACCATTCAAGACGCATGCTTTGATTTCCCCCGGTTTATTCTTTTCTTTCCGACTAATTAGTTAAAGCCCTCCTACCGTCAACAATTCCTCGCCGTGAGCGGAGTGTTGGCCTCGGACAGGCGGGGAACAATTAGTAGCAATTCATCTCTGCTTGTTCGTCGTCTCTTCCCTAAGGAGCATCGCAGTTCAAGTTAATATGATTGAAATGAGCTGGGACGTTTCAGCGATCTTTGCAAGTCGTCAATAAAGACATATTGGCAAATATAACATGGGCTCGCCACCCATCTAATGATACCCAGAAATCTTTTAAAGCGGGGGATAATTATCTCTTGAACAAGGGATAAGGTGCGAGGTTAAGTACTCTCAAATGCAGCCAATATTTTCTTTCTCGCTCCCTCTATGGATTGGTCTTCGCCATGTGTTCTATGTTGCTATAAAAAGACGGGTGGCCTGGCAAATTGGACGGCAAACAAACAATTGAGCACGAGAAACGGTGATCAGCTCCGATTTCCCTCCTACATAGTTCGATCTCCTTGAAAAGCGCTAAACCACATGACGTCTCGCCTGGCTTGACGGTACATACAGTGGTCGTGGCAGAGAACTGAGGCGGCCCGTGGCTCTAGACTGCAACATTGGATGACGTCGTGCTACCCGCAGACTCCAGAGAATCGCCCCAACCTACTCTCTGCTCATCGCCCCAACCTACTCTCTGCTCATCGCCCCAACCTACTCTCTGCTTCTCCTTGATGCAATCCCGGCTGTGGGAAACAACACGGTAGACTTGCCAAGTAATTGGATTACAAGTTGAGATGCTATAGCAGTTGTATTATATGGAAAGAATACCCCAAGACAACCATCCGCGTCTCGATTTAGAGGAATGATTGACTAGCAGAAACTTCGTCAAGGCCCCAGTGATTTGGTAGCAGGCAGACATCTGCCCCCAAGCCGGCATTAGTCGTGGACAACGTCCTGCGCGATCAACTAGTGTCCGGCACAGAGCAGCTGTGAATTACTCGCACTTGACTAAGTCTGGTGAAAGCCGACTACGGCGTGCTACGTCCACCTGTAGTGCACTTTCTGGCGTTGCTGTCACATGTAGACCGACGCTAAACAACGTTTGGCATATACCTGGATATGGCACTGGACATGGCTGGAAAGGTTAGTAGTAGACAATGTGTCAAATATCTACCTACTTTAGGGGCAATGTCTGTATAACACTCGCTGCTGTCTTCTTCCTTCACACATTACACAAGCTACACACGACCCCAGTCATGTCTGTTTAATAGAATATCTAAGGCCTGAATTTTGCTTTTAAAACGCTAGGATACATTGATAAAGTAGTTTTCATTTGTGTCAACAATTTCAGTGAGGTTAATTGTAATCCCAGGTGTATGGCAAGGAATGTTATTTTCATAACTGTACTCTGATGGATGTTGAATAATGTCTGTGCTCACAACGTCGTCCGCCATGCCTGCAGGCAGAGTGAACCACTTCTCCCACGCGGCTGTAGTAACTCACGGAGAGGGACCATCACTCAGGGCGACACTGACCAGGCAGCTGTGACGTAGTGGTCCGCCATGGGACGAATTAGGGTCGTGTTGGGTCATCCCTTGATATACCACTTTAAATTGGCAATACTAGAATGTATCCACTTAAAAAATGTATTATTGAACAAGAATGAACTTTCTGTACTTTTCGACAATAGAAAAAGTCTCTTGTGACCGCATTATTGTGAGGCATACTAGTTTGACATAGGCACCCTTGAGACAAACACACATTCTCTTCACTGTAAGGCATACTATAGTGTGTCATAGGCACTCGAGACAAACACACATTCTCTTCACTGTAAGGCAAACTATAGTGTGTCATAGGCACTCTTGAGACAAACACACATTCTCTTCACTGTAAGGCATACTATAGTGTGTCATAGGCACTCGAGACAAACACACATTCTCTTCACTGTAAGGCAAACTATAGTGTGTCATAGGCACTCTTGAGACAAACACACATTCTCTTCACTGTAAGGCATACTATAGTGTGTCATAGGCACTCTTGAGACAAACACACATTCTCTTTACTGTAAGGCATACTATAGTGTGTCATAGGCACCCTTGAGACAAACACACGTTCTCTTCACTGTAAGGCAAACTATAGTGTGTCATAGGCACCCTTGAGACAAACACACATTCTCTTCACTGTAAGGCATACTATAGTGTGTCATAGGCACTCTTGAGACAAACACACATTCTCTTCACTGTAAGGCAAACTATAGTGTGTCATAGGCACTCTTGAGACAAACACACATTCTCTTTACTGTAAGGCATACTATAGTGTGTCATAGGCACTCTTGAGACAAACACACATTCTCTTTACTGTAAGGCATACTATAGTGTGTCATAGGCACTCTTGAGACAAACACACATTCTCTCCACTGTAAGGCATAATATAGTGTGTCATAGGCACTCTTGAGACAAACACACATTCTCTTCACTGTAAGGCATACTATAGTGTGTCATAGGCACTCTTGAGACAAACACACATTCTCTCCACTGTAAGGCATACTATAGTGTGTCATAGGTGTAGCAGAATAAGTGTGTGCATCGATAAATGATGTGAAAACACGGCTACGGGTGTGATTCGTTTTATTAGATGACAAGTATGCGTGGTATACTTTTCTTTCACACCCTAAAATACACAATAACACTCAATAAGAATCTTGTAACTAATGACAATCAAAATGAGAACATGATACTTCATTAGGATTACCTTATACATGTATAGAGGATATGTATACGTCAGAACATGACACATCATTAGAATTACATTATACATACATATAGTATATGCATACGTCAAATCAAAATAGGGGGCACGGGTGGCCCAGTCGTCTGAGGCGCCGCGATTCGCTGTGCAGAGTTGCGTCCCTTGGGCACGCCAGAAACCTATGATTGTGGGTTCGAATCCTGGTTCGCCCCAATTATGTTTCTAGGTTTGTCAGCACCATACCGGTGCTCGTGGGTTTCACCGAAGTGGTAAACGTCTGAGACCTGCATCACTTGGGGCTTTCCTCCCACATTAAGCTGAAACGCTGCGATATAACTGGAATACTGCTAAAAGCGGCGTTAAACCCAACTCACTCACTCACTCACTCAAATCAAAATACTTCTTAGGTGGTTTAAAACGTGATCAATAGATAAACATAATAATAATATATATTTACATGTGGTGATAAGTAAACATACCAGAAGTATGGCCTCTAGGCGTAGGTTACGCTTTAGTCTGCCACGACTAAATGGCCAGGGCTACAGTGACATCAAAGTACCTATAAATATGGAAATTATTCTAAATGTACAATAAGCTTCATTACACAATGCTCTTGCACGTGTGGATATTATTATCAAACCAGTGCTATTGTTTATACATATTTTGAGATCTGAACACAGCACTACCATAAAACACAATAAATTACTAAACATCCTAAAACTATCATAAATGTCCACACACTTACAATACATTTAACACATACATGATAATAGCCTCATAAACATATTCAAACAACACCCTGTCCAGGAGAATCAGACATTGACTAAATCTCACACACATCATAACAAATACCTTATTTAACGAACTCCTATTATATATAATCTTATTTATGAAAAGATAGGTTTATATATGTTTGAGTATTTAATTGGAAACATACCTTGACTTCACAAAATCTATAAAATGTGCCCACTTGCTGTCGTCTGTCAGTGACTTGTCAGTGAAGTGACTGAGGTGCAAGTGAGGTTTAAAAAGCATGCAAAGCTGACCCTAAGGAAAACAATAGGGTCAACCACTCAACCAGAACATTTGCCCTGGCTGACACAAAGGAGCTGATAGGGTAGTGACTGACCCAAGCATAACTAAGTTAAAAGGTATTGTATCAAATCTTTATTAAAATCCCTAAAACCCATACTGCTAACTAATACTAAATACTAATATTAATAATAAATACTAATATTAAATACTAATATTAATAATAATACTATTGCTAATACTAACTACACTATGTATTATATACACTATATACTAATACTGACACAAATAACTAATGCTAATATTAATACTTATACCAACTACACTATGTATTATAAACACTTATATACTACTGTTATATTACTGGTTGACAGTTGACAGTTAACCAAAACCTGTAACTGCCAAATAGGCACTCTTGAGACAAACACACATTCTCTTCACTGTAAGGCATACTATAGTTTGACATTGGCACTCTGGAGACACAAACATTCTCTTTACTGTAAGGCATACTATAGTTTGACATAGGCACTTTGGAGACACAACCATTCTCTTTGCTGTAAGGCATACTATAGTTTGACATAGGCACTTTGGAGACACAAACATTCTCTTTACTGTAAGGCAGACTATAGTTTGACATAGGCACTTTGGAGACACACACATTCTCTTTACTGTAAGGGATACTTTATTTTGACATAGGCAGTTTGGAGACACAAACATTCTCTTTACTGTAAGGGATACTTTATTTTGACATAGGCACTTTGGAGACACACACATTCTCTTTACTGTAAGGGATACTTTATTTTGACACAGGCAGTCTGGAGACACAAACATTCTCTTTACTGTAAGGCATACTATAGTGTGTCATAGGCACTTTGGAGACACAAACATTCTCTTTGCTGTAAGGCATACTATAGTTTGACATAGGCACTTTGGAGACACACACATTCTCTTTGCTGTAAGGCACACTATAGTTTGACATAGGCACTTTCGAGACACAAACATTCTCTTTGCTGTAAGGCATACTATAGTTTGACATAGGCAGTCTGGAGACACAAACATTCTCTTTGCTGTAAGGCACACTATAGTTTGACATAGGCACTTTCGAGACACAAACATTCTCTTTACTGTAAGGCATACTATAGTTTGACATAGGCAGTCTGGAGACACACACATTCTCTTTACTGTAAGGGATACTTTATTTTAACATAGGCAGTCTGGAGACACAAACATTCTCTTTGCTGTAAGGCATACTATAGTTTGACATAGGCACTTTGGAGACACAAACATTCTCTTTACTGTAAGGCATACTATAGTTTGACAAAGGCACTTTGGAGACACAAACATTCTCTTTGCTGTAAGGCATACTATAGTTTGACATAGGCACTTTGGAGACACAAACATTCTCTTTGCTGTAAGGCATAATATAGTTTGACATAGGCACTTTGGAGACACAAACATTCTCTTTGCTGTAAGGCATACTATAGTTTGACATAGGCAGTCTGGAGACACAAACATTCTCTTTACTGTAAGGGATACTTTATTTTGACATAGGCAGTCTGGAGACACAAACATTCTCTTTACTGTAAGGGATACTTTATTTTAACATAGGCACTTTGGAGTCACAAACATCCTCTTTACTGTAAGGCATACTATAGTTTGACATAGGCACTTTGGAGACACACACATTCTCTTTACTGTAAGGGATACTTTATTTTGACATAGGCAGTCTGGAGACATAAACATTCTCTTTACGGTAAGGGATACTTTATTTTGACATAGGCACTTTGGAGACACAAACATTCTCTTTACTGTAAGGCATACTATAGTTTGACATAGGCACTTTGGAGACACACACATTCTCTTTACTGTAAGGGATACTTTATTTTGACATAGGCAGTCTGGAGACACACACATTCTCTTTACTGTAAGGGATACTTTATTTTGACATAGGCGGTCTGGAGACACAAACATTCTCTTTACTGTAAGGCATACTCTAGTGTGTCATAGGCACTTTGGAGACACAAACATTCTCTTTGCTCTAAGGCATACTATAGTTTGACATAGGCACTTTCGAGACACAAACAATCTCTTTACTGTAAGGCATACTATAGTTTAACATAGGCACTTTGGAGACACAAACGTTCTCTTTACTGTAAGGGATACTTTATTTTGACATAGGCAGTCTGGAGACACAAACATTCTCTTGACTGTAAGGGATACTTTATTTTGACATAGGCACTTTGGAGACACAAACATTCTCTTTACTGTAAGGCATACTATAGTTTGACATAGGCACTTTGGAGACACACACATTCTCTTTACTCTAAGGGATACTTTATTTTGACATAGACAGTCTGGAGACA